GTAAAGTTTATTTGTAATAAATCTGATCAGCATATGTGCATGTAGAGCATTTATTTTGTCCAGACAGTGCTCTTCTAATGTATTATTTACATCTGCAGATGATTCACATTATCTTCTACAACTGACAGCAATATGGAAAATGGTTATAATGTGTCAAATACCTAATTAATTTAAGCATCAATCAAATGAGCATTATTAGTGACCAGTCATCATTAGGATTATTGATTTCTCATGTCAGCATTGTTTGCTTACAGAATTATTGTCGATCATTTATTATTTGTACACAAACAATGTTAATACAGATGATCAATACTCTTGATGGAACTAGGAGTGCGTGGTAATCATTTGTGTGAATTCTAGAGGTTAATGAGCATCTGCTATCAATATTATCATCAGAAATGCAATTTTTGAACTTTTAGCCTTTTGGTGTGGTTTTGAGGGGATGTAAATTAGTGACTGCATTGGCTTTAGTTCCTGTGCTGCAATCTTTTATTTAGTGGCCACTATTTTTTTTATGTTGATTGCTGTGAGTGGAACATTAATTATCTGTAAATCTTGATTTACTCCTGTACCTCCCTTTTATTATTCACTGGAAAGCTGAATGATCTAAACATGTTTGCCGTACTCAGTACTAATTGTAATAGCATAATTGTGTTGTGTGCATAAATAAGGAATTATTAGTAGAAATGAAATCGCTTAGTTTTTATTACAACTAATAAGTGTGTGGTAAAAAATTTGGATAATTCTCTTTACAAACTGTGAATTAATTAAAGCACACTCAACAACATTAAAAAGTACATTTTACAAAAGCCATGGTGTATTCCTGAATGTATTACTATACTATATTATTATATAATAATATTTTATTACTATAATTTTTCTATACTGTTTTATGATTGGACATCTTCAAAGACAGGTACTAAGACAGCAGAAAGGCACCTGACTCACCCAGGCACAAAACCAAGAGGAGAACCTATCCTCCTGAACATAGATGGGGAGATGTTTACACAAGAACAATAGGCAGAAAGACATTTGAGGTGCCGGGAATCAGCACCATTATTTCTAGAACTGGCCTGTTAAACTGAAGCTGCATATGCACGGTTAACACCAGAGTGGAAAGGATCGGCCAAGTTGTACAGAGATTTTCCAACAAGTTGCCACTTTAGATCAAAGGAAGCAAAACATTTACATTTAGCTGTCTTCCTTATGGGACTATTAGTATGCCCTAAAGAAGAACTGTGGCCATGTGTATGGAGAATAACATATTTACATAGTCTTAAGCAGTAAATAAGCTTTAACATAAGCCCCCACTGACCTCTGTAATTACAGCCACTGTGGAGCAATTAATCCTCGGCATTTACAATAGAAGTATACAAGGCATTTAAAAGCTGTTTACTTTTCTTACCATGTTTTATGTTACATCCATATTTAGGGTGTAAAGTTAAACATGGTTACATGCCCAACCAACCCCACCCAGTTACTTGAATTGTGGAGTTCTTCTCGTAGGCTCTTGTCAATTTTTTTTTTTCATTTGCTAGGAATATGTGAATGGAGAGACTATAAGTCCTGTCTGCCACTGTGGCAGAGGAACTCGTAGTTCTAAATAGAGTACAAGTATGGCGACATCACCGCAGTTGTAGTCCATTCATACTTCCGTTTTTATTTTCCTTGCACATGATTGGATATTCTTTGTAAAGTAACTTTTCACCACATTCACTTAGCTATGGGGAAATTCTCTTGTAAACAGTCTATTTGCCTTTAGTAAATCAACGCCTTAGTGTCACCTTGGAAAACTCCTTTAGGGCCTGTTCACACGACGTCCGTTTTCTGTACTGACCTGATCCGTACGCTCCTGCACTAAATATGCATCCCAATGTATCCCTATGTGTTTTTTCCCAACAATATTTCTTTTATTGAAAATTTTTTGTTATATAGTGAACAACATATGAAAGACAAAACAGTCTCGATACAAGATAATAGAATACAGAACAATTCAGTTGGTACATACATATGTATCACTATGCATCCCTATGTGTTTTATGGGCTACAGTTCTCACGTGCGTAGTCCGTTCAGGTTACGACAGAAAAAATACTGCATGTCACATTTTGTCCTGTCAGGAAATGCACGAACGCGGCAAAAACGCAACGGGAACGCAATGCAGCTAAACAAAAAAAAATTATTATTGCTCCAATTTTTATGATGTCAGAGGCAGTCAGAGTGGGAGACAGACAGACAGAGTGGGGTAGAGGTAAAGACATGAACTGCAAACATTTTAAACATGCCCATTACCTTTCCATGAACATACGAGTATAGGAAAAAAAATGTATCCGGGTGAGCTCGCAAATCCTCATATATACTCCAGAACTGACCCTTGGAGTCCCGGAGCCTCCAGATCATGTGAACAGGCCCTTACAGTCAAAGGATGTAATCCTAGTAAAACAATAATGGTTATATAGAAGCTGCATTTGACCTATCAGAAAGCCCAAACAAATAATTTCAAAGAAAGCACTTGAGCTTGCTATATGAACATTGCCACTGAGTGCCCAGGGTGGCCTATCGCTCCATATGGCAAACCTTGTTATTGGAGCATCTAATGGTATGTGAGTAGCAACCACACATGATTAAATCCTAAGGTTCAATATATTTATACTTTTAAATGGGCATATATTTAGGAGAAACTAAAGACTGCTTTATTTATTACAATTATTTTGGCCAACTGTTCTGCAGGGGCTTGTCTGTTCTGTAGAAATCAATGTAGACTTTGTCAGTGGACTTTTTAACTGCCAAGTGGAAGGGCCTGCCTTCGCTAGATTTACAGGAGCAGTTGTCAAAACTACACTCCTGGCATCTTGTTTACAGAACGATGAGAAGGGGGGAGGTATCCCATAGTACTGTTGCCCTTCCTGTCCTAGGGTGACAATGCTACTCCTCTACAAAGAAAATACAGTAAGCAGGAGCTTTCACCTTTGCACAGGACATGGGTTACTAGTAGGATCACCAGGTGAAAATAGGCATGAAAAAACCTAATGCAGCCAATACATCTAAGTACTGGTTCTTGGGTTTAGATACAAGTGCAAGTGAAAAGGTGTAGCCCAAGTACATCCCTTTATGCGTTAGTAGACCCCAGAAGATAACATACTATTGGTGGAGATGTCTTTAATATGACCCTAGGCTCTCTGTGCAATCTTCACTGAGCTCATGATCACATTAAATCCAGGCCCGGATTTACTCTCTCTGCTGCCCCAAGGCTGGGTTCTTCAATGCGCCTCCCTCCCCAGCTAGTCTGAAAGATGCCTCTGCTTTTTCCTACTACACATGTCAGGTGTTGCCGTGTACTTTATTTTAAAGTAAGGAATTTTTTTAAATCTGATTAATTGTAAATAATAATAGGCTAACTAGTCAATTATTAAAATATGAACGTATTTGTTAATGTAAATCATTGTAATTGAACAATATTTTTCAGGTTACTTGTGATTTGGATATTATTTTTTATTGAAGACATACCTAGTGTATTTGGGCACTGTTTTTTATACAATAACTATAAATATATGCAAGGAATTTAAAGGAGAACTATGGGGTTAAGGCTTTTCCACATAGTTCTCCTTAGGGTAACGGGAGGACACAAACTAGCGTCCTCCCGTCAGCTACGAGCTACGCGGTATACTGAGACGCCGCAGTATACCGCGAGCTACAGCTCGCAGAATACTGAGACGCCGCAGCTGAAGCGGATCCCGACAATTATGTCTGGATCCGCCCAGCTGCGTGAGTGACAGCTGGCTCTGCCTATCCGTTCCGCCAGTCAGCGCTGGAGGATCGGAGCGGGGAGGGGGGAATCCAGTCCCTTCCCTGTCACGGAAGAGAGCCGTGACAGGATTGAGAGGTGAGCGAACGCCGGTATGTGTTCGCTCACTTCTCGATCTACTGAGCCGATCTGTGACAGTCTCATTGTCACAGGTCAGCTAGAAATATGAGGTGAGTGAAAAGCACTCACCTCATAGTTCTCCTTTAAATACCTTTCATTTGAGTATTCTTCTTGGCACTGTGAGCATATAATATAGTTCAATGCTGGAATAGAAGCTAGTATAACAAATGGGTAATAATGATAAATTACATCATGTGAGCTTGTGAACCAGCTGTGTAGAGGGAATAACACTGGGCAAGGAACAACCATGCTACAAAGGCGAGATTGTGGAACAGGTGGAAAATCTTGCATGATGGCAAAAGTTAACATAGCATAAATACGTAAGATGGTCATTCTGCATCCTTAAAGTCTTTTACAGAAGCACAAACAAACAGGCAGGGTTGAGAACCAGAAATGCAGTGGTTGACTACAGAAGTTAAGTGCAGCAAACAAAGCGAGAAATGGGATATCCAGCAACAAATGGTATGGTCCCCTCAGAATCCTGACCTTGAAGTGGACCTTCCCAACAGGATGCACTTTTTCTCCTCTGCTTCCTCCCCTCTCCCTTATTCGACATCCCCCCACTTCAGAATTCCTTGCCTCAGCAAAGATGAACGTAGATCGCCCACCAGCTGCCTCCTGGGATGTTCAAATCACACATCATCCCAGGAGGAATTGGGACTAAGTATTGTGCCATTTCAATATCACTCATGTGCAGACATCTGCAGGTCTTGGACCTAGTAGAGTGGCTGCACATGTGTGGAATTCCCACGACACAGGTCTCTGCCCGGTCTTTGAAACGTGGCAGAGACTTTGTGGCATTTGCATTGTGTTTTCAGCATTCCCACACATGCACAGTCGCAAAGTCTTTTCAAGGTCCCAGAAACCTGCAGCATGTGTGCACATGCACAGGATGAAAACCAAGAAGAGGACTTTCAAGAAGCAGACCAGCGATTTTCCTCCTCAGAGATGATGTGCATGGTTGCATGTCCTGGTCACATGTGCCAGAGTTCCAGGAAATAAAGGGAGATGGATTCATCTGCTCTTAGTTCAAATGGCCGCTGTGAGAAGAATGGAGAAGAAAAGAAAAATAAGTAGGCAAAATGGCCGACGATATCCATACAAAGATTGCAAATTACAAGACCGCACCATTTGATGCCCGTTTTCCTAACCAGAACCAGACCAAACATTGTTTCCAGAACTACCTGGATTTCCATCGATGTGAGAAGTCTTTAAGCAGTAAAGGACAAGATCCCTACCCATGCCAGTGGTATTTCCGTGTATACAAGTCCATGTGCCCCAACTCTTGGGTGGAGAAGTGGGACGACCAGAGAGAAGCGGGCATATTCCCGTGCAAAATCTGAAGGGGTCTACGTTGACCTTGTGAACTCGAATCAAGAGAGCTATTGTACAAGGAAAACAATGTTAGACTCTATGGACTAGTAAGCATTTTTTATTATTATACAGAGACAAGTATTACAAAGATGAAATGTATTTTTACTTAGGTAGGATTAAGTTCCTCTTTAACATCATTGAGCCAGGCTGGGACTACATGCATAGACGGTAACAATTAACACAGCCAAAGTTTGCAGAGGAACTGTGGAAGGTCTTCAAGATCCTTGGAACAACCTACCAGGCAAGTAGAAACTTAATTCAAATGTACCTGAGATAGTGGGGTTGATTTACTAACCTTATAAACACACCACGAACGTGTATACACCTCTGCAGTGTGTTCCCTCCCAGCATGATCTATGGGTGGAATCTAAACACCTTTGTAATGTGTACACACCCAGCAGGTGTGTTGTGCAAAGCCCTGAAGGAATTCCAAGGTGATGTTGGGTAAATTAGCTCTATGTTGTGTTGCTTGCGTTGATGAATGCAAGGAATGTAAAGGCATGAGCTAACCATTTTTGTCTAAACTGTGAAGCAGCATTATATATGCATCATGTGCATGATTTTTCCATATATGGCATTAGTGGAAATATGCTTTTAGAGACTTTTTGGTTGATAAATACGTTTTGCTCTGTGAAAATCACACACACCTGGTGTGTGTGTGTGTGTTTAGGTTAGTAAATCACCCCCAGTGTCTTCTGTTTTTAAGGCAAAGGGTGATCACCCTAAATATAGGCTTTTTGTTTTTGTTTTTTTTATTGCAGTGATTAAAAAAAGTATATAATCATGAATGGTGACATTGACATGCAAGCACAATAATATGACTTAAAGAAGAAGCATTGGTCCAAAATTCTGGTTGCTGTATTCATATACGGCATTTGAAAGGTTTTTGTACTCTATTCCGCTGTCATCATTATTCATTAACGATTGGTCCTCAGGGATTCTCTACAGACTCAAATGTGTTCTTATAATATTAACTGCAAACATTATTATAAATAAATTATTAATTACAATATATTTACATCTCTGAGTTGAATAGTTCCATTCAATCAGATTGTTAAACTTGCCAGCTGGTCTAGTTCTATTAAAGCAGATAAAACCGATGACCTTATTTTGGTTTAGAGAGGGTAACACATTTTATTGATTAATCATATGTTCATAACACCACTTCCCATAAAATGTACTTCCATCTCACTGACTTGTGGTGACTGACTGGTGTCAGTTTCATTAAACCCCTCTTGTCTTGAACTTTCTGGGTTTGGTTTGACTTGACATGAAACACCTGGGTTGGACAACTAAGATGAAGAGGACAACTAACAAAAAAGTAAGATTCTGTGCTCCTATACAGCAGCTGAATATGCCTGCTACATGTACATTTGGTGTACATTGCTGGCATATGCTTTTTTAAAAATACCTCTTCAAAGGTGGAAATGAGCTTTAAATGGAGTAAGTGATCTCATTTCCATCACAAATAGCTACCGTAATGATGTATCAGACAGTTGCAATGCATCAGAGAAGACATACTAAACATGCAATGAATGGAAAACTTTAAACTATTCCTGGGTCTGGCAAAGGACAATACACAGTTCTTATGAAAAATAAAGTAGAAATGTCATTGCAGACACGATTTAACTTTCCTTCTGTCCCAGAATTGTCTTATTTGATGTTGTGTAATAGGTGGTCTTAAATTTGCACGCATCAGCATATAATATTTCTTAATGAAAGTATGTTTTCTTAAATCCCAGTTAAACTCTCTGTGTAGCCCTTTCACTGTCAGAGATTTTTTTATTTTAATTTGGAGTTTAAAAATTTTTTATTTGATTTATATTTAATTTTTCTTTAACTTAACTTTATAGCCGCTTTAAAGCTGATAGCCCCCTATGTGATAGCGTATTGCCGATGACGGGTGCTATTCAAGTAGACATCCTTGTCACCTATGGACCTCAATGAAACTGATATAGCAAAGATTGTTCTTTATCAGCTTTTTCCCCAGCCACAGTGGCCAGGAATGACAGCTCAGAAACTGAATGTGACAAAATCCTTGTCGCTTCCATGATCATTGACGGGATGTTTGCTTATCTCCCTCTACGCTTCACATCGCCAACTGCCATGGCTGTCCCAGGCCCACAGGAGGGACAGCAGAGCCCAGGATGGCAGGGGGCCAGAATGTAGGAAGAGAGAAGAAGCTTTTTTTATGCATGTTTTAATTGATTTATAAAATCAGAAATAATCAAATGTTATTGTAAGCAATGTGTAAATGTAACACTTACAAGAGATCAAAGTACTGCCCTGACAATGCCTTCCTCTGCTTTTCTCTCCAGAAGGACAGCACCATCTTTGTTAAGGCACAGTCTAAGCTCAACCTCTACTTTCTGGACTAAAATGCTGGCTCAGAAATGACAGAATCATGTAAAACCTGCTCCTGTGCATTTTGCAGCTGTGTTCACAAATGTCTGACATAAATAAGCCCCTACTCTTGCCTTGTGTCCTGTTACAATGTTGCATTCTGGAAATGTTTCCTCCTACCCAGACTCGTGACATCATCTCAGGTTAGTCAAAGTCACTTGCCTTGAACGTTTGATGATAAAATGCAATTTAAAAAAAATAAAGGTATGCTGATACTGTATGTTCTGACAAGTCAAGAATTTATGCATGCACATTTGTAAAGTTACTGAAAGGTCCACTTTAAGTCTGGCCCACACTGTGGAAGAATCACTCCCAAAGAAAACTATACAAATAAATTATAATGAAAATAAAAATGGTTATAGGTTTTTTTTTGGGGGGGGGGGAGGGGTGAAAGGGTTGAGATTTATTTTAACAGTTATGTTGTGCTGCATTCTTAATCAATAATTATTAATACTCCTTTAAGGATGTCAATGTAGGCTGTGTATCATCTATCATAATTTTCACCTTCAAATTCTTTAGACATAACCACTACCATATTGCTGTGACCTGTGGATTTTTCCTGTGGCATTTTTATGAAGAGCAGTAAGTGTACTGTTTGAAATGGAATACCTGTGTTATTTTACAGCAGGAAAGAAATACACAAGGCAATCTTAAAGTGGACCCTAAAGATCCAGAAGATTGTATTATTTTTTCTTTTTCCAATTCGCTGTTGATTTATCAGAGAAAATTTAGGGTCTTTCTGACCATTTTGTGAGCTGCGCTGCTCTCCATTTCTATCTACTACCCAAGTGCCATAGAAAAAACTTAGTATAATTGACACTGTAAACCTGTCAAAGGCATAGAAGGTCATGGGAAATGTCAGCAATGATATAAATGACTAGCTGTGCTTGACTTTAACTTGTGTGCACCAGCACAGAACGTATAGTGCTAAATAAAAAAGGATCATAATGTAATATCCAAGCATAAAACACACCGAAGACAACAAATAGCATATTACTGTATTGATATAGTATACTCTGGGTGATTGTAGCACATGGCTTTTTTTTGCAGTGAGCAGCAGAGTGTATCAGCTATTCAGCAACTGTAGTCAGAAAATGTTTTTACATCAATCCAACAAATATACAGTTGTATTATATTAGCAATGCATGCATATGGTAGTACGTGTAAAAAAACATGAAAGTTTAGCCTCCTGGCTATTCAGTGCATGGTTTGGTCAGTTCCCAATCTCAGCCTGTTCCTAGCTCAGACTGAATCACACTCCCCAGCCTCTCACTACACCACTATATACAGTACATCTTTCTTTTTATTTCATATCCTCTATTTACAGTAATTACAGCTTTCAAGACTTTTAAAAAAATTCTAGCTGTCAGTTTGAAGGAATTTTAACCCATGTATTCTTCTGCATTAGTTCCCAGAGGTGTAACTAGCTTACGAAGATGAAGCTGCTTCTAAGAGCTCTGCAATCCTTAAGCAGGGTATACACTGAATGAATTTTGAACTAAATTAATTTCAGAACATTTGATCGACTTTCTAATAGTTAAAGTGGTTAAGTCGATGATCACAGTGAAGAAAAAATTCGAAGGAGCTTGTTGGAAAGCTTTTCTTGATCGAATGAAATTCTGACAGTGAATGTGGTTTTCGTTCAGGGAAACTTAATTCCTTCCAAAATCAAATGTTAAATTAGCCTAATTTTAAACCAGGTAAAATTTTGATTTCTGATAAAATGAAAATATTAACTGTAAGGTAATTAAGCAAATATAGAAAGGGGTATTGGAAAAGGTAAAGAAATATGACTGTAAAATATCACAAACATTCTGTATAAATTCAGAGTTTGCAATGTAAATAGATTGGGGAAATGTTTGTGGTTTTAAATATTGTAATAAATATGTTGGTTTAATGTGTGTGTGTGTGTGTGTGTGGGGAGGGGGTTGTGGTGTATGTATTCCTTTTCCCCCTGCTGTCTTTCCTCCTCCTTGTCCCCAGTAAGGGTCGAAACATGTTAGAGGGAGTATCCTGGGTGCAGTATCTGTGCTTGTGTTGAACAATAAAGTTGATTTTACTCTTTGGAAGTAGTGTGCAGCTGAAGAACTTTGCTGAATAATGTAACTGGCTTGTAGGGCACTGTTTCTCTTACCTTATGGAGTACCTCCTACCACAAGAGCTTGAAAGGATTGAGACCTGGCGACTGAATCAGCCAGTCTATTAAAGCCAGTACTTTGGCTTTTGGTTTCTTCACCAAATAGATTTCATAACTTAAAAAAGTAAGCTTCAGATCATTGTCTTCCATTATGCAATTCGTACAATTTAGGATGCTGACCGCATGGAATGGCATGCTTGATTTGAAATTGAAATGTATTTTAATACCCATATATCTAATGACACTTCAGCACTTCAGAGTATTTAGTGTGCTTCATGAGATACATTCAGTAGTACATTTAGTAGTGTATATATATCACAAAACAAAGTTGGCGCTCAGTGGTTTCTTACATGTCATGTTTTGAGGGTGGTAAATTCCTGCCATGCCTTTCAATGTTACATTTGTCAGAAATATGGAGAACATATTTTAACAAGCACATTAAATTGACTGGGTTA